GGATTCAGGCAGAGGGATTAAAATTTTTCAGGAACGCAGGGCTCAAAGGATTAAGACTAGGGGAAAATGGCAGAAATACTAAAAAACTAAACGGTCAACACAAAAGGATCGTCTATAGTCAGTGGAATGAATTCCCTCCCAGATGCACATATTGGTACAGATGTGCAATCAAACACAAGAATGTCATAATTCTCGTTGACAAAAACAGGAATAAAAAAATGGCTTAACAATTTCAGCCCAGGCCACAGCTTAACTGATAGTAGTGAAAAAATGAGTTAATGTCCATCCAGCGGTTGAACAGTGGTAGAGAAAAATGTCATAATGCCCAACTATCGGTTGAAGAGTGGTAGAGAAAAATGTCATAATGCCCAGCCACCGGTTTAACAGTGGTAGGGAAAAATGACATAATGCCCAGCCACCGGGTGAACAGTGGTAGAGAAAAATGACTTAATGCCCAGCCACCGGTTGAACAGTGGTAGAGAAAAATGACATAATGCCCAGCCACCGGTTTATCAGTGGTAGAGAAAAATGACATAATGCCCAGCCACCGGTTTATCAGTGGTAGAGAAAAATGACATAATGCCCAGCCACCGGTTTATCAGTGGTAGAGAAAAATGACATAATGCCCAGCCACCGGTTTATCAGTGGTAGAGAAAAATGGCTTAATGCCCAGCTATCGGTTGAAGAGTGGTAGAGAAAAAGGACATAATACCCAGCCACCGGTTAATGAGTGGTAAAGAAAAATGACATAATGCCCAGCCACCGGTTGAACAGTGGTAAAGAGAAATGACTTAATGCCCAGCTACCGATTGAACGGTGGATAAAAACTTGTAAATGTTTTTATATCTACAGTGAAACATTGCATACCAATTAATTGCGAATTTTGATTCAGGAGATCAGGCAGAAGGGTTAAAATTGTTCAGGTACGCCGGGTTCAAAGGGTTAAGGAATTTCAATTAAATACAAGCTTAATCCTTTTTGCTTTGACCACCGCATATCGCAAACAGTTAAGAACAAGGAAAAATTGCAGAAATACTAAAAAACGAAACAAAAATAGAATAGTGTGTGTTAAAATATTGCATTTCGAAATGAAAGAAATCAAATCAGAGGAGAAGGAAAACGAAAAATAGAATGGGGAGAAGAAACAAAATAAAATAATTAGCATTAATAAAAAAATAAAAAAAGACGAAGATTGTTGATGTAAAAAAGAAAATGATTCCAAAATAAATATCGAATAAATAAATTATTTTAATAAATACAAATGGAAACAAACGCTTTAGTTTCCTTTCCATACAAACACTATTTTTGCTACTTTTAGTTGGTTCATGTCAACCACATTCTGTGAAAAATTATCATATCTTTTTTATATCGTGGCTATCTGACCTTAATCTTATATACTCTGTCTATATTTCTTAGATGAGGTACTATGTACATTATTTCCATTATTCGGACTATTGTCCTCATCTTTGTCGCCATATTTATTACAAGGTTTCGGCCGTTGTACGCTCCGGCCTTCTTCAGGTGGTTGGAATATCGAACTGAACCCTTTATTTCGCTCACTGGAGTAGATTGTTCTAGTTCCACGTGCCATGTTTAATGGATGTCAGCTATCAGTTATCTCCTGTTAATTTTCCCCCTGAAAGTTCTCCACTGCCTTAACCGGGTATTGAACTCACACTCTTTGGGTCCTGTCACTGGATCTAACCAACGCCTTTATCCAATGGGCCTTGAGGACATCTGTGTATGAATTTCAGGGTATTATAAACCTAATGTTTTCACTTCCATTTTTACCAGTGCTCATATTGCAATTTTTTTTTATTAAGAAAAGAACTTGCCTAGGTCGAAAAACCGGTGCCGCCAGTTCCGCCATGGAAATAAGAGATAAGGAATCGTCTTTAGAACGTTCAGTTTGCCTGTCTCAAAGTGCCTCTCGGAATGCTTGAATCAGAGTCACTGAGTCCGATGATAAACGTAACCATTGGCTTTCCAGAAGAGCATACCAGGCTGAAGATGATGATCAAAAAAAGACTCAATATATATATATATATATATATATATATATATATATATATATATATATATATATATATATATGGGGTGAAATAAATATTCGTACACGTGAAAAAATGTATTTTTATAAATGTAAAAGCCTTAAATAAAATAGCAGGGCAGACTGGCTTCTATAGCCTTGTATGGCCACTGGTCTAGGAGAAGGACAACTCTGGATATATATATATATATATATATATATATATATATATATATATATATATATATATGCATTTAGGCAGCAAATTATCTTTTATTACAAATATTATGTCTGCTTATTCTTATCATAATCCTTTCATATTCCCGAATATTTTACCGTATATTACAATGAAATGAGGCAAGAAATACACTTTAACAGTGAAAATACCTTTCTATCCCATTCAAAAAAATGGAAACTACTTGCGTAATAAAAGTCATTGAAATGTTGAAATAGAAGCTTCCTAAATTATCTTTTGGTCGTTTGGGGACCTTGCGGCACGTAGTGCACCAGGTCTCTGTATTCGGCCCTTCAAAAAATTTGGATGGTCCTGCACGAAACCAGCAGTCCTCTGATGGCAGCCACCGGCGCGCCACTGATATGCCTCTAGCGGTCGATCAGTGTCAACATTGTCAGGACGAATACGCAGGCGGGCCGACAGTGGGCCACCAGCGGTAAACGCTAGTGTTATGCCACCGAGTGGCAAATTGGTGATTTGCATGTATGGTACTACCTGTTCATTTGATGAACGTCAAATGTTTCCTTTTGAGGAAACATCTTATATTAATTACTATTACGCTTACTGTACTTATTTGAATCATGCTGTTTTTTATGTGTCTAAGTCCTCAGACAAATCCACTTCACCAAATCACAATTTTGATCTGATATTTTCTCTTTCATCTGTTGTTTATCGAAAGTAGGTGAGTAGGAGAATTTTTCAGCACCCTGTCGTAGATGAAAGAAACTTTGAAAATATTGCCTGTAAAAAGGCGAAAATACAAGCTCATCACAGAAATTGAAACGTTCTGTTAGCGGCCTTGGAGCCGTATTTCAATCACCTCACCGAAATAGGAAAGACCGTTTATGGTACGCTAAAAGACACAATAAATTAATGGCGTTTGTTCTGTTATTTCTTTCTTTTATTAGATGTCGAAATGTTACATAAAAAAAATACAAAAAATTTGCAAAAAAAAAAAAAAAAAAAAAAACAACAGCAAAAGCAACAAAAAATTCATTTTTTTTTTTTGGATGGTCTATCATGGTGGAATTGTATGCGCCACTGCGTTCCGTTGAAAGCTGTTCGAGTAACTCACGAATTCATTAGCGAAAGATAATGAGCTCCAGACGCCGCATCTAAGGTTTGGGTTGATTAAGGTTTATCATAAAATAAAGACTACTGAAATTTGTAAGAAGGTAAAAAGAATAAAAACGAATAAGATCATTCTTTCTCGAGAGGCTGTGTTTATTATATACACCATTGTATACTATATAAATATATATATAATTATTTATTTAAAAATATGATTCCATCGCTATATAAGAGTTCTAGAACTCTTATGTCGCGTTGGAATCATATTTTTAAATAAATAATTATATTTATGCTCTACTTTTGTATCGAGCACTATTTTTTGAAAATAATAAAAATATTAAAGAACTTTGGATTATTTACTTAACGAGTTCTTTCCTATTTTCTATATATTTTTACACACACACACACACACACACACACACACATATATATACATATATATATATCGGTGAGTCGGAGAATACACACACACACACACGCACATATATATATATATAGAGAGAGAGATAGATAGATAGATAGATAGCATTTTACAAATTTTTAGCATTTTTCTATATATTTTTACACACACACATACACAACACACACACACACACACACACACACATATATATATATATATATATATCGGTGAGTCGGAGAATATACACACACACACACACACACACACACACACACACACATATATATATATATATATATAGAGATAGATAGATAGATAGATAGATAGATAGATAGATAGATAGAATTTTACAAATATATATATATAATATTTTACAAATATATACATATATATATATATATATATATATATATATATATATATATATATATAGAGAGAGAGAGAGAGAGAGAGAGAGAGAGAGAGTGGTGTGAGTGAGTGTTCGCATTGTGACCATGAGACCCAGGTTCGAATCTCACCATGGTCGATTCGTCAGGAAGGAGACTTCTTGATGTAAGCGGGGACTGGATGGATCGATCCCAGCGTGGCGGCACCTTTGGAAAGTGCCTGAAAACCATACCACTGATTGACCCAAACCTTTTGAGTGAAATTGGGTAGACGGAACCCCAACACGAGGACTTGAGCGTGCTGACCTTTTTCAGATTGTTGATCATGCTAGTTAACACGCTCTTTTCCCAGAAACTGTAACTAAGTTCTGCTCAGTAAAGTTGCAGTATAAACTACAGGCGGGGGTTTCTAGGTGTTGAATAAACACAAATGTGCCTGAGCGAGCGTCTGCAATAGGGATTGGCTAGCCGTCCTAGTAGACCGTTATCCTCCAATACGATTGTCGAGCTATACATGCATTTTACTCATAGCTTATCTAACTAGTTTCATTTCTCAGTATAATTTTGGAGATATGTTCTTAATCTTATTGAATATTTAATTGATAGATTCATTTATTTTTTACGGTTTATAAGCCCTTTTAAAATATTTAAATCCAGAAAATATTTTTAGATTCTAAAGATATTTTTTTTGTTGGGGTAGATAAAAATGGTTTAGTAATACATGTCTTACTAATTAACCCATAGCTGGGGAGAAAAGGTGGATTCATACTTTTCCCAAGAGTATTTGCATGTAAGTGAATATAAAAAAACAAATTGGAATCGGCTCTTCGATTAACAATTCCGAGACATTATCCATTACACCCCCCATCCGAACTTATAGCACCTGTTATTTCCAAAAAGTCACCCATCTAGGTACGGACCAGGCTCGACCTTGCTTAACTTCAGTGATCGTATGGTTACCGATGTTTCATGCAGCCGTAAGCCATCTTAACATTCAACACGCATGATTTCCACATTCAAATCCGGAGTTTTACACTTTGGTTGGAAGAGACCCTCCATTATTGACCTTGTCTTCAGGATTATATATGTATTCACCTCACTTGACCAGTTGCGAGTTGCTGATGCTATTTAACCCATAGCTGGAGGTTTTGAGTTCAAAGTTGTCCTTCTGCTAGACTGGTTGTCCAACCAAGTCCGAGGACCCAAAGGGTATTTGAACGTACCGTAAATGTCTGTCTACATAGCGACATGTAATGTTAACGCTCCCCCCCCCAAAAAAAATGGGGACCGCCTTATACACCAGGTATAAAATGTGAATCTTAAACCATGTGGTTTATGGTAAGTTGTTTTTTTCGATGACGTTGAACAAAAACGCAACTAGATGTGTGTCTCAACAAGCAGTTTAAATATCGCATTCGAGAACATTGGAACGAGTGGATGGTTAACGGGGAAAAATAATTCAGGCTACCGTAAGAGCCTACAGAAAATACAGACCCCACTCATGTGACGTTGTAGATTGTGGTCGTTAATTGACTATATCTCGTCACCATTTTATTTTTCATTAGAATTTGAGGGAAAAGAAAGTAAACGCTTACTGGAGTTATTTAGTGTTATGGGGTCCACCCCTTTTTCATATAAGTGGACTCGACCAAAGTGTTACTTGGACTGCTGCCGTTAAATACCCAGAGTCAGTCAGAATATAGGGAGAGATAGGGAGATTGAGAGAGATTGGGAGAGTGAGCAGAGATTGTGATGGAGTTGAAGGTAGAGTAATAGTGTGAGGTAACCGCTTGTAGAAGTCAGTTACAAGCACGTAGACTCTAAGGAAGTCCTACTTCGAGACTGTATATATATTTATTACGACTAACGGCGTTCCTGGATTTACTAACAAAATTACCCTTTGTATTATTGTGTAAATACATTTAATTTCTTATCTTTATTTCTTGCGTTTGTCATTCATTGGGGACCGAATTTCATCTCGGAATACACAACATTTAGTAAATCCAGCTCAATACATCTTGTACGGCGAATATAGCCCGAAACCTGCACTTTAACTTGAAAATTTGGGTGTCGTCTTATACGCCCAGTCGCCTTGTATGTCAGCCTATATGGCAAGTGAATATAACAAACTCGTCTGGATTTCTAATTATTCCATCTCTCGTATAAATTTAGATCTAAATGTTTTTTTAGTCCCCTTTATAGAATTTATTCTTTGCCCATATGATCTGTTTATTGTTTTAGTCTTTAAAACCAAACGCTTTGTTTTTCTCTTTGACATTCGTCATCATCTGTTAGGGAATTGTCCAGTATCCATTGCCATGCAAGATGATATAAATAACTCGGTGGTTTCACTCACTCTACAGTTTTTGCTATCGAACATTTTCCTGTTTCTTAATTCTTTGCTTAGCTTTTGGAAGGTGTCTTTCGCTATTCGAATACACATACAGTCTTGCGTGTCAGATGTTCCGTCGTCTGTTATAAGACTTCTCAGATTATTATCTTCGTTATTTCTATACTGACTTGATTTTGACGACTACAATTCGTATAGTTTAACTTCGCCTGTGCCTTGTACTAACTAAAACATATTCTGTCTTTCTACAATTAGGAATTAGTCCCTTTCCTCATCTTCATTTACTACCTTGCCTATGAGTTCCTGTAATTGTCTTTCTGTATTTGCCATCAGCACGTTGTCATCTGCGTATCTTTTATTAAATTTCCTTGCTTACTTCATCCTGACGTCTCCAATTTTCTGCTATTTTCTTGGGGCGTCCCTTTTGCATACAACATATATTCTGTCTTCTTACACTTGATGGTTAGTCCTTTCTTCTGTGCCTGCCATCAACACGGTTTCATCAGCTTAACTTACCTTTTTGTACTTACGTGATTCTGATCTCCCTAAATTATGGCTCGTATCTTAGGTAGTCTTTCTTGCTGGCAACCATACAATCTATCTTTTTACAACTGATGGTAATCTTTTCCTTACGCATTTCTTTAATAACTTGTCACTAAGATCCTGTCTTTCTCTAAATTTATCACTTACTCATTTGCATAACTTATTCCTTGGTCGTAATTATTGCATCCCAGGTAGGATTTAGTTAAACAATTCTTCAAAAAGTTAAATTATTTTAATCATTATACGTGGTCTCATAAAAATTATCGGGACTATTGCAATGATAACCGGGCTAAATAATGCAGAGTAAAGTCACTTGGTACAAATTGACCATAAGCTATGTTGCACATGCGCACTAAGTTGTGATTAGGTTTAGTTTATTTTGTTTTACGGCATATCAACCTCAATTGGTTATTTAATGCCGACAACATTTTTAGGATAGATTCGTATGAGTAGAATATGTATTCTTTGGTTTAGATTGGTTTGGTTTATTTTGTTTTACGGTATATCAACCTCAATTGGTTATTTAATGCCGACAACATTTTTAGGATAGATTCGTATGAATAGAATATGTATTCTTTGGTTTAGATTGGTTTGGTTTATTTTGTTTTACGGCATATCAACCTCAGTGGGTTATTTAATGCCGACAACATTTTAAGGATAGATTTGTATGAATAGAATAGAATATGGTTTTGGTTTATTTTGTTTTATCAATGGGTTTTTAATGGTTTAGATTTTGTTTGAATAGAATATGTTTATTTTTGTTTTTTTGTTTTACGGCATATCAACCTCAATGGGTTATTTAATGCCGACAACATTTTAAGGATAGATTTGTATGAATAGAATATGTATTCTTTGGTTTAGATTGTTGTTTAACGTCTATCAACCTCAGGACGAACAACATTTAAGTTAGATTTGACGTTGTATTCTTTGGTTTACATCCGTTTGTTTATAGTAGTGCTTATCAAGGAAAATGGGTTATTTAGATTATTGTCGATTCAGAATACCATATGTATTCTTTGGTTTAGATTGTTTGGTTTATTTTGTTTTACGGCATCCAATGGGTTATTTAATGACTGGTATGGCTTTTTCTGGTAAAATTTTTCAGTAGTTTTTTTTTTTTCAAAAATGTTGCTGGTAATAGTTAACTATTTTCATAAGGACCCTACATTCCACTCTAGACCACCATCATTTAAGACAAAAACATATCCCTCAGATCACGCCCTTTTTTTAGGTTTTATTTTCAAAAACAAATGACGTTGATTCTCACATCCGTTTGAAAGTGAACGAGATTATGGTCGCCTCAGAACACAATGAATAAATAAAAGAGAATGCTTCAATCGATGGAAACAAAAACCATATCCCTGATAAAGTCTGTTTTAGGTTTTTCTTTTCAAAAAACAAATCTCACTTGAAAGGAGGTTTAATGTAAATAAAGAAATATATATATATATATATATATATATATATATATATATATATATATATATATATATATATATTGTAATTTTCTTTTTATAGCACCAATCTAGATACTTAGCGTTCACACCTCATATGTACCCATAATAAGCGGTTGGTGAGATTCGAAACGGGTTTCCTTTTTCTCGGAAAATATAAATTCCGATTAAGTTGCAAAATCCTTTTTAGTGATCAAATTCAACTGCTTCGTTGAGTTCTCCTTAATCTCGTCCCCTGCATTTCTGCGGCGAATTTTCAAACGTCATGGATTGTGTAAAGACCCCTTTTATTATTCCAGTAATATAGATTGTCTCACTCAATACTTTCACACCCGTAGCATATACAATGACTACGAGAAAAAATGGGGTCATTAACACTGACTATTTATTCAACTCATATATACAGGCTGTGGGCTCTTCGACGTGGTGTAATGGTTAACAAGCTTGTCTCGTTAGATCATACTTTCGGCCTTGCCTCATATTTAAGCTACTCTTAGAAAATAACCATGTGTACAGGGTGCATTGTGTATTTGAGGGCATGACTTTTCTGAATTATGTGAGGACATATTATTTCCGTGTTAATACTTTCAAACTAAATTTCATCCCTTTATTCTTTTTTCAGTTAAGTAATGACATATAATAATTTGACACTAGAAATGGAAAAACACGCGATAACCATTGCCTTCAACTTAGAAAGCAGAAGGACATGGAATTCTATCGTTTTTCTTGGAGGAAAAGAACCAAAACTGAAAGGAGAAATAACAAATAGCTGTGCTCCGAGCCCTTCCCAAGACCCAGGTTCTACGGAAGGGATCGAAACACAGCTATTTGTCATGTATGCACACTAGCTACTCAGGATCTGGGATGGTGTTTAGGGATGTATCGAATGACGTCATGCCATACGACGTCTTTTCTCAAGGTCTTCGAGTTAAGACTGCTGGCTATGAGGTTGTTGAAATAGTTAATAAATCCCTGGATAGAGAAAGCACACAATGGAAAGCTGTAGGTGTTTCAGAATTATTCTGAACCTACTCATAAAGGTCAACTGAAAGAACAATCGATGGCTGATAATTTTGTAATGCGTGTAATTTGAACTTCAAACTCGCCAGATCTTAAGCCTCAAGACTTTGACGTATGAAGCATTGTTGAGAGTGATGTTAATCAACATCGCCTCTATTTTCAACCCTAATCCTAACCCTTTTCCCTCAGACGATACCTTACACCGCATCACGTTAAATCACTTTACCATACGATCAAAGAAGGTAAGCAGTGTTAACCCTCGTTAGTAAGTAGATGGGTGACCGCTTGGAAATACCAGGTGATGTAAGCTTGAAAGTCTGGGTGCGGTAATGGATAATGATTCAGAATTGTTAATCAGAGAGCAAGGTTCAATTTCCAGTTGGATTCGAGCTATTCACTTGTATGCAAATACCGTAGATATGAATCCATCTCTTCTCCCCCAGCTATGGATTATAAAGTAGTACTTGAATCAATAAAACCATTATCTTCTCCTAATAAAGAATAAAATAAAATTGTGTACAGACTATTTGGATTTTGGCATTAAATAACCCACAAATATGTTGATATGCCGCTAACAAAAACAACTAACACCCGGCACCTATAGCTA